AACTTAATTTGGTGTTGTTCTGAGTCGTCCTTAATTTTTGGTGATTTTTTGTTTTCCCTATTTAAATGAATTGAACTGTCCATTCAATTGATTTAAATGGGGAAAATAAAAAAATCATCAAAAATTAATGAAGACTCAGAACAAAACCAAATTAAGTTTGCACATGTTTCACAAGGTGCACTATGGAATCCAAGCATTTAAAGCAGGTTTCAAACATTTTAAGACACTTTTAAATGAGCAAAAAGGGACATCGTTAAGTGAAATTCCCCCATAGAGAACATCGTTAAACGATGGGGGAAATTCCTCAAAAAAACCCATCGCTGTGTGAATTCATCATTGTATGAAGCAATCGTTGTGCGAGGCACCACTGTAATTAAAAACAATTTTAAAATAAGGGGAAAACTTTAGGCAAAATGGAAGAGACACTAGGAGAAGGAAAGAAGGGAAAATCAGGAATTGGCTGAGGCGAAGGCCTGCCGAAACATCAGTGTTTTTAGTTGATTTTTTAAAAATACCCAGCGAGGGAGCTGCGCAAATATCAGGGGGGAGGTTATTCCAGAGGCGAGGAGCCACCGCCGAAAAGGCCTGATTTCTAGTTGACTCCCCTGGGGAATTTGAGTCCATAATTCATCTCAGTGGTGGGCACCAAGGTCTTTTGAAGCTTGCTACGTGTAAGCGGGGGGGGGAGGGGAGAGCTGGGGGGATCCTCCCCGAATTGAGGAAGAAGAGGATTCCCCCAAACCTCAGGCACACCCACACCCCAAATACCATCTTCATGAGACAGTGGAGCAGAAGAGAGAGGGCCTGCTTTTCCTCTTCTGGGGTTGCCAGAAATTGCAGCCAAGATGGGGGTGAGATGATCAGACCCCACCAAGGGTGCAAATGGGGAGGGAGACAACCCCCGAAGGCCCTTTGGGGTTGGCTGGGGAGGGGCTGTCTGTGGCAGCCTTTCTGACCCACAAGTGCTGGAGGAAGAGTCGGCTCCATTTTTCCAGGGGCGGAGTGGAAGTGGGGAAGAAGATCTAGCAGAGAAGAGGCAGATGTGGGTGGGTGTTTGTGGGGGCAACCTCTTTTCTGGGGGCCCAGAGGTGGCAGGGAATAGGGGATTTCCCCCCCTATGTGGGGCCACCCCTTCTGCCCTTTTGTGGGGTATCACCTCGCCCTCGACACAGAAACCCTCACCTGGACGGCGGCCGATCCCAAGGGAGAAGGATCCTGCCTTTGCCCAGACACTGAAGACCTACCTGGAGGGGAAATGCCTTGAGGAACTGCAAAGATTCCTGGAGTATGGGAAGGAGAGGCTGCTGAGGAGAGGTGAATGATGGGATGGAGGAGCAAGGAGGTCTATTTCCAGGGGACTGGTGCCATCTTCTCTGCCTACCCCCCTCTCTCGCTTGCTACGGGCTTTAATCCCAAGGTTTGTCAAAGAATGAAAGGGTTCTCAGATAGAAAGGAGCTTCAGCTGCAGCCTCTTCCTTTTGAGGCAGGAGCCCTTCAGAGCCCCTTCTCAGATCTGACTGTCCATGGGATCGGAGTCAGTTCATCCAAGGGGCCGGGGGTTCCTCTACCAGAAGCCGCGAGGCTCTTGGGTTGCAAACGGGGACGTCCTTCCCTGGACACCCAAAGGAACCCGGAGAATCTACATCTATGCTATTCAGTCTCAGAATGGGATGGTTGAGTGGGGATGGGTGATCACCAGAAGATCCCTTCCTGCTCCCCAGAGACACCATCCCTCCCTGCCAGAAACTTCAGGTTATACTGCACGTTACTGTATCTCACATTTTGGACAGCTTTGGGAACAGGCTGGAAGGAAAGGGCTTAATAGGTTTGCTTCAAAGTGCGGTGTGACTTCCTGTCCCCAAACCACCTGATCCTTGTGTCTGGATGCAAGGATTGTTTTTCGTCTCAGACAATGTTTAGCCCAGTCCAGTGAATAAATTTTCTGTCTAGTCACACAATTAAGAGAGGTGTGGGTGCCTCCATTGATGCTCATTTTGTCATTTTTGCAGAGGCTCCCCAAACCACCTGATCCTTGTGTCTGGATGCAAGGATTGTTTTTCGTCTCAGACAATGTTTAGCCCAGTCCAGTGAATAAATTTTCTGTCTAGTCACACAATTAAGAGAGGTGTGGGTGCCTCCATTGATGCTCATTTTGTCATTTTTGCAGAGGCCCCAGTAGGGAAGGTGACCCGCATGTTCATCTCCAAAGGGAGGGAGATGCTGGTCTGCCAGGCCCACGGCTTCTACCCCAAGGAGATCGAAGCCACCTGGAGGAAGGGTGGGGAGATCATGGAGCCGGACACCTTCAGGAGGAGCGTCGCTCCCAACTCCGATGGGACCTACCACGCCTGGCTCAGCATCGAGATCAACCCTGAAGACAGAGACCTCTACCGATGCCACATCGATCACGCTGGCCTGACTGAGCCTCTGGTCTTGGCCTGGGAAGCGCCTGTGGAGAAACGGTCTTGGGGTGAGAAAGGAGCTTTCGCATGGGACGGTCATGAAAAAAGGAGCACCATCCTGGGCAAAAACTCTCTGCAGGGCTGTTGCATGTTATGGACCAGAAAAAAAAACAGGGATGTGCTCTTCTGTGGGGAGGGAGGAAGGGGAGAGATCTGTTCAGGGAGTTTGGGAGCCATCTGTGGCTCTTAGTCATGGTGCTGATGCCTTGATGAACTTCAAACCATATGCCTTGATTGGTGAAAGGTTT